CGTCGACCAGGGTTTTACTAATATAATAGATTAGAGATTGCTTACCTTTGTTTTCACGGGCCAAGACTGCGCTTACTACAATGTTAGATACGGCTAGTTAGATTAAGAGACGTTCGCCTGGTTCTGCCTTGGCGAGTAATGGGGGTGTGGACAAGTATGCCTTTAGTTATCTTAGGGCGTTGACGCATTCGGAATTCCACCGGAGTCCATTGTCCTTTTTGAGAACGTTGAAGAATTTGTGGCATCTGTCAGAGGATCGTGAGATGAACCCTGACAGGGCGGCTATACGGCCGGTCAACTTCTGCACTTGTTTCTTGTTGGTCAAAGTTTTAGGTATTCCCTCTATAGCCTTGATTTGGTCAGGATTGACCTCGAACCTCTCTGCAACACCAAAAAGCTGAGGAACTTTCTCGAGGTCACGCCGAATGTGAACTTTTTGGGGTTCAGCTTCATGCCGTATCGTCTGAGTATGTCGAAGGCTTCCCTTAGGTGGTAGATGTGGTCCTCTTTTCTTCTTGATTTGACTAACATGTCGTCAATATAGACTTCCATCGTTTTGTCGAGTTGCTCTTTGAACATCTTGGTGACCAGCCTTTAATAGGTCGCCCCTGTATTTTTCAACCCGAACGGCATGACTCTGTAGCAGTACGTCCCTTGGTGGGTGATGAAGGTGGTTTTTTCTTGGTCCTCCTTCTCCATGAGGATTTGGTTGTAGCCTGAGTAGGCGTCCAAGAAGCTTAACAGCTCGTGTCCTGCTATTGCGTCGATGAGTTGATCGATGTGAGGCAACAGGAAGGAGTCTTTCGGGAAGGCTTTGTTTAAGTCCGTGAAGTCTACGCACATGCGCCATTTCACGTTTTTCTTTTTCAACATGACCACGTTAGCTACCCATTGGGGGTATTTTGACTCTCGAATGGACCCGTTGGCGAGCAATTTTTCTACCTCTTCCTGGACGGCCTCGTTGATTGCAGCATTAAACTTTCTTCTGATTTGTTGTACTGGCGGGTAGAGTGGAATGACATTCAGCTTGTGTGTTGCAATGTATTTCGGGATACCTGGCATATCTATATGGGAGAAAGCAAACAGATCGGCGTTGTTAGTTAAAAATTTAAGGAATTTACTTGGTTCTGTGAGTTTGTGGCCGATGTAGGCTTTTTTGATGTGGTCGCTTTCGTCTAGCTGGACGGGATCGAAGTCTTCCGCTGTTGACCTTGTGGCTTACATGACGTCGGGGTCTCTGATGGCGTCTGTTTGTTCGTCGGACTCGGGCCCCGACTTCGGTAATTGCTATGCTCTTGAGCCCTCCTCTCGTAATTGTTAGGTGTATGTGCAATCTTGGGCGATGCGGCAGCATCTGAATATCCCTCACGGGGTAGGGAACTTGATGACCTGGTATAAATTGGACGGGATGGCCCTCATGGCGTGTATCCAGGGTCGCCCTATAATGGCGTTTTAGGTTGTGTCTTGGTACATACATGGAACGTGGTTCCCAAGGTGATGCCCCCGGCCAGAATGGGCAATGTTATCTCTCCCGAGGTTCGTTCAACCACATTGTTAAAACCTGTTAGCGTTATGCAGCGTGGTACTATCTTATCCTCGAGTCTCATTTGTGTGAGAATTCTGGGGTGGATAATACACGTGTCGCTCCCGTCGTCTACCATGATTCTTTTTACATCAGTATCTGAAATTCGTAAAGTAATGACAAGAGCGTCAAAATGAGGAAAGGTCAATCTGTGGGTATCTGACTTATCGAAGATGATACTGTCTTCGACGTCATCATATTGTTCATGGGTGACTGACCGCTTCAATTTGTGTGTGGTGGTGAACTTCACATGGCTGATTGTTGCTTCATCGCCCCCGCCGATGATCATTTGGATGGTGTGGGCGGGGGAGGGTGGCTTTGGGGGGCCTTGATGTGGTTCTTGTCCGCGGGCGAAATTAGCTCTCCCTCGGTCGCTCATCAGCTCTTTTAAATGTCCTTGGTGGAGCATATTCACTACTTTCTTGTCGTAGGGCTATGCAGCCCTCGGTCTTGTGGCCCCGTTCCTGATGGAACTCGCAGAGGGAATTTGACTTTCTGGAATTTGGGTCTGACTTCATCTTTTGTGGCCATTTCACCTTGGGACCGAGCTTCTCTAGGGCGTAAACTATTTCTGAAGGAGAGACACAAAAATTGTGAGCAGATAATAGTGGAGGCATACCACTTTCGTTTCGGTGAGTTCCCGTTTGCGGCCGGACGCCCCTTCGGCTTGGCGGGGAGACAGTGGGATGGTCGCTCTATTGTATGGCACCCGATTGAGGCGTGTGCCTGCGTGATCTCTTCGGCTGTCATTCCGACGATCTTTCCTTGATTGTATTTGGACTGTCGTTAGCCGTTGGGTCGGACCATTGAGGTCATCTTCATCTGCCCTCACCTCGGCACAGTAAGCATTGTGAATTTCTTCCCAAGTGGTGGGAGGCTATTTCATGAGTCTGCTTAATAATTTTTTGATCTCCCTTGACCCGTTCCTGCTTAACCCGTTTTGAAAGGCCGCTACCTCCATCCCTTCTGATACATTTGGCAGGCTCATTCTTACTCTGTTGAACTGGGCGAATATGTCATTCACTCTGGCTTCTACTTTCTTGGCCCTGGCATGGGCCGTAGCAAACTTGTCAGCCATTTCCTCGAATGTCATTATGGAGTGTGCAGGTAGTTGTGAGTACCATGTTAAGGCTCCTCCTGTTATGGTTTCACCAAACTTCTTCAGCAGCACCGACGGTACCTGTTCTTTCGAGATGTCGTTTCCTTTTACCGCTGTGACGTAATGAATGATATGGTCTTCGGGGTCTGTTGTGCCGTCCTATATTTTTAGGTATGGTGGCATTTTGAAGGTTTTGGGTATGGCATGTGGGGCTGCCTCCTCGTTGTATGGCTGCTCCACGAACCGGCCGACATCCTGTTTTGGCAGGAGTTTCGGGGCGCCTGGTACCATATCAACTCTTTCTTGGTGCTCTCTCATTTGGTCGCGGAGCGCTTTATTTTTATTCTCCATTTCTTCCATTTTCTTCAGAACAGCTACGAGGGCGTCGTTACCTGCATCAACATTGGTGTGAGGGTTACCTATTGGGGAGGTGCGTGTTGCTCGCTGATGGTTATTGGGGTGCCGACTCGTGCAGCGTTCCTACTCGCCCCTTGAGCGAGTTTGTCGAGTATACTGCTTAGGGTGCTTGTCAGCCACGCCTCCAATAACGTTTTTGCTGCGGGCGACGTTTCTTCCGTCGTGGACGTGGAGGCTCCCTTCTCATGTGAAGCGGTTACACTCCCATGAGGAGGAGGTGAATCACTTTGCCTGGGTGAGACGCTCGGCGTCACGTTCTCCTCGTCTTTCCTGTCCACCTCGTTGATGGTGCTTAAGAGATTGGTAGTGACACCCATCATTGCTTTCAGTCTTTCCTCTCTTTTTCCTGCCATTGTTAGCTTGTGCAAACAAGAAAAAATGGAGCTTTGTTGTTTTTTTTTTTTAGATCTAGATGAAACTAAACTTTTTAACTAGGAACTTCCCACAGGCGGCGCCAAATTGTTTGATCAAAAAGTTTTAATCCCTTTCAGTTAAACCAATTTATAAATAAAGAAGGGGTGAATCCAAGTTAAAAGTAATAAACTTCAGATCCGAAATTAAACAACTTGGACGGTATGGACTGTGTTTGGGTCGACAAATGCCGAACTAGTATGCAATGACTAGTAATAAATATGAGGATGAAAATATGCAATAAATGTAATAAATGTAATAAGAAGGAATTTTGTCACCCAAGTGTTGGATGAGATGGATGATTCCTTCTTCTGACCACAACGTCTGATAGCAGACATTGAAAGTGAACTATGTGTTCTTGGATCTTATGAACTAAAAAAGAATATTGTGTGACAGAATCAAATAAGAGAGCAAGACAAGCTTTTTGTATATTCTTGATAGTCAACTCTTTACAAGATGTTCTTTTTTAAAGGTTTCGAATCCCCTTTGTTTCCTCTCTCTTCCTATTTATAAGGGATCTCCCTAGGAAACCCTAAAAATAAAGTACAACGTGGGGGAATCTTCAACAGAATATTCCTATTCACAATTATAGGAATATTCTAACAACTGCAGGCGTTTGCTTTCTGCTCGACCTCGGTACTGGTCTCCCCCTTTGAGCGACTTCTCGCCATTGGACAGTGCTTGGTTTCGACCTCGGCCTCAGCTTGTCCGTCTGCATTCGCTAAACTAGACCCAATTTTGGCCCATTCAATCGAAAGATTGCACTGTGCACATAAGTATAATATTATGTTTTACAGGTATATATATAATACATATTGAACACCCTTTGTCGGAATTTGTTTTCACTTCTTTTAAATTTGAACACTCTTGGAGAAATTCCTAGCTTCGCCACTAAGTGCAATATATAGATGGCCAGAAAATATTCACATTCGTCTGTGTGGTCGTGGCGTAGCACCATTGAATGGATGGTGCAGAATACCTTTTCATGACCATGAGAGTAACAAAAATCCAAGAGTAGACCTATGTTAATTATTTTTGAACATATGTAATATGTTCTTGCATTGCCGGCATTTGTAATCTCAAATTTGTAAAACCTAATAACCAGTATCTTCAGTTTTTATGAATTGAAAGTTACGTAACTATGATATTGACTCTTGCTTATGTTGTCTAGTACAGAGGAAAGCATAAAACAAGCTATATAAGCAGTTAATTTAAATAGCTTAGTTAAGGTCCGACCGTAAAGTTTCAAGTCTTTGACTTTGTTAGTACTGATGCCGCGAAAGAAATATATATCCAGAAAATTGATACCATTGCATATGGTATTATGCCACTAATAACCTACTAATTCATTTGTATTTTCTTCTTTTCCTTTTTGATTCATTTTCAAAGAATAAATTTGGCAGGGTATATCATCTGTTAATCTCATTGCTTTACATTCATAAGCATGCAATACTAAATACCCCGCAATTAATAAACTAGGTAGTAGTACTAAATTTCAGCTTAAGATTAGAATAACATAAACCAGAGACATAAGATGCACGACAATATAATCGTCTTAAATTGAATGAGCATAGAGGTGGTGTCTTTTACACCTTGCCGGTAGATAAAAATCTAGAGAAATGCCAAATGGATAAAGGAGGAGATATCGTATTGAGCTCACAGATCATCACAGGATAGAGTGCCATCCTTTGTAGCCACACATGGGTCGGGTCCCCTAGTAAAAATCTTGGAAAATTGATGGACTAGAGATCGCCAAGTGCGCATCAACTGCTGCCTATGGAATCTTGATACCCAATGAGATCATAGATATACATATCACAAGATAAGGATTCTTTTGCTCTTAACTCCTATATATTGTGAAGCCCAACTTTTAACTTCAGCTCATCACAGCCAACTTCGGCATTTCAAACTATCAACCACTCACTTTTCTTTTCATACACCATGGCTGCTTCTACAATGGCTCTTTCTTCCCCTTCTTTTGCTGGACAGGCAGTGAAACTCTCCCCATCTGCCTCGGAAATCACTGGAAATGGAAGGGTCTCCATGAGAAAGACCGTCGCCAAACCCGTTGCATCTAGCAGCCCATGGTACGGCCCAGACCGTGTTAAGTACTTGGGCCCATTCTCTGGTGAGGCCCCAAGCTACTTGACCGGTGAATTCCCAGGTGACTACGGGTGGGATACTGCTGGACTTTCAGCAGATCCAGAAACCTTTGCCAAGAACCGTGAACTTGAGGTGATCCACTGCAGATGGGCTATGCTTGGTGCTCTTGGATGTGTCTTCCCCGAGCTCTTGGCTCGTAATGGTGTCAAGTTTGGCGAGGCTGTGTGGTTCAAGGCTGGATCCCAAATCTTTAGCGAGGGTGGACTTGACTACTTGGGCAACCCAAGCTTGGTCCATGCACAAAGCATCTTGGCCATCTGGGCTTGCCAAGTTATCTTGATGGGAGCCGTTGAGGGTTACCGTGTTGCTGGTGGGCCTCTTGGTGAGGTTGTCGACCCACTTTACCCTGGTGGTAGCTTTGACCCATTGGGCCTTGCTGAGGATCCAGAGGCATTCGCTGAGCTCAAGGTAAAAGAGATTAAGAACGGAAGACTCGCCATGTTCTCTATGTTCGGATTCTTTGTTCAAGCCATTGTTACTGGAAAGGGCCCATTAGAGAACCTTGCTGACCACCTTGCAGACCCAGTTAACAACAACGCTTGGGCATACGCCACAAACTTTGTGCCCGGAAAGTGAATCTTAAAACATTCTCAAAATTCTGATTGTTTGATGGCCTTGTAAAGCTGTTGTGAGCTACTTGACAATATAATGAGATTTTGTTTGTGTTTAAATGACTGTTTATTTCTGAGTTTCATACCCATTAATCAAACAGCCACAAAAAGAAAGAAAGAAGAAAAAAACACAGGAAAAAAGGCCTAATGACCACTGGACATTCGAGTAACTAAAAACACTGTAAAGCTGTTAAAAGCTTAAACTTGATTTTACAGACCAGAGCAGCTTATGGAATTTAATGGATTCTCTTTAAAATCTATACAAGATCTCACGTACTAAACAAGTTGACTACACTGTCTGTGTTTCTGCTTTAAGTTGTAAGCACTATGCGAAGTATATACTAACTACATATTTGGTCGAAAAGAATGTATATTTACTAACAACATAGAGATTTATACAAATTTGTAAAACTCTGTTGTTCATTTTCTTGCCGGAAAAGCTTCGCAGATGGTATGTCAATTCTGACTTTCACCTTTGACGTCCGACATCATACATGCATTTTACTGTTATGAATCACAATGTTCTGTCAAGGGTTGCTCGCCCAGTTATCCCCTAATGGATGCTATCACCACGGAATGATGGCACTGACAAGCAGCTTAGATCAATGAATTAACAAATCATGGTTAGAAAGAGATCAACTACGACTTGCAGTTCTTGCCCTCAAAACAGCCTTATCGTAAAGTTCTTCATATTGTGATGCTGACGAATCCCAACTAAAATCTATGTTCATGTCCTTCTGAACCAGCTCTTTCCAAGTCTCAGCATTGTTCATGTAGTAGTTAAATGCACGTTCCAAGGCATTGTTGAATCCCTGGTCATGAAACAGTGCAACATAAAACTCGTTTAAGAACAATGCTTGATGCTCGATACAAAGAACAAGTGCTCGATATAAAGAACAAATGCTTGATGCTCGATATAAAGAACAATGCTTGATGCAGAGTCCGAACAGCAGTAATTTGCTAATGAGGCGCAAAACTGAACCAGTATTATGTCTTGGACAACTTTTTACTAATGTTTTAGGCTCTTAGCTATTAAAGTGAGGTTACCTGTTCATCAGCAGTCACAAACGTAAATCCATTTCTAAACTGATCCGGGATTGTGTCATCGTCAACATCGAAAACACTGCAAACATATTTGAATGGTTAATAATAAATATAAAACAGTATAACCATGAACTCTGATTAATAAAGAAGCCCTGCCGTGTCGCGTTGACGAACCTATCATTCAAGCCCCCTGTTCTCCTAGCTATTGGTATAGACCCATATCTCATCGCTATCATCTGCAGAATAGAATTCGGATTCAAACATTAGAGCCAAAAAAATACTGAGTTATTTAAAAAGGTTCTTCATTTACTAGAAAGTGTTCAAGCAATTATGGAATGACCTGAGTAAGGCCGCAAGGCTCAAAGATGGATGGGATGATAAGCATGTCAGATGCTGCATAAATCAAATGGGAAAGAGCCTCATCATACTTTAATACCAACCGAGCATGTTCGTGAGTTCGGAAATGGTTTCTGATATCCTCAAACTCCCTCTGCACCAACATTGATGTATGAGTTGACAGAATGCTAAACATTATGCTAGGATGCACTAGGGGTAGAGCAAACGGTGGGGGAATCCACAGCAAGTGCAGAAAAGTTCACATGAAAGGTTTGACAAGAAACAAACATGGAAAAAGCAGATGTAACATACCAAAACTGAGAAGTATCATGACAGAGAAGCATTAAATTTCCATCATATACAATTTTATTATTTTCCCATGATTAACAATGGAAGGAGAAGCCACTAATAGAAAATCTAGCAAAACCCAAGCCTCCTCATCTCTCAGGGGAAATAAGAATAAAAAATAATGCTTCAATTCATTTAAGTACCAATACAAAAAGAATACAAGTAAGAATGGGGATGGTTTACCATAGTACATAGAAATTAAAAGAAACCAGCATACCTGACTTTAGCAAAAGAACACATCATCTCAAAGAAAAGAAAAGACAACTTTGTCTAAGGAATGTAGATGTGACTGATGCCAACCATTTTTGAATCGTCAAAAAGAGGTGCTATGGGGTTTCCAAGTTTCGGGTGTCTCCATAAAGACAGGATTTCTGAGTTGATAAGCACAGAAACAAAAACATAGAACTTCTAGACTGGAAGGATTTGGTTACTGAATTCTTCATTCTCATGTACACCTAACTAGAAGATCCAACAGCTATCTTTCTGTACAAGTGTGAATTCCTATTGACGAAACTGGAAATATAGAGCTTCCTTCTTCTTCTTCTTCTTCCGCATTTCTCATTTTATTGATAAACAAAGTTTAAAAGCCTGAGCTAAACAGACTTATTTGTGTGCCAAATTTCAGCAAAGTATATCATCTGAATATCATCATTAAGACGTCATGATGATTGTATTTTCCTATAGCATGATGCTGCGAAGGAAAAGGAAATCATTACCTGAATATGTGGCACAGGACTAGAACCAAGAAGAACAAATTGACCTCCCAACTCCAAAGTCCTATATATGGCATGTCTAATAAGATGCACACCCTTTTGAGGAACCAGTCTTGTTACGCAACCAACCTGTAACCAAGCAATCTTAGGTTAAAATTATAAGTGATACGGAAGTCCTTATCCAAACTGAGAGAATAAGCTCAGCATCTCATAATGCAATGTCAATTAGTATATCCAGCCCAACTGATGTTCTTCTTAACTTGTTAGCTATCAATTCTCCAATATCGTATTTGAAAATTTTGACATAACCTACACCATGTCTTTCTTGTTATCTTTGCTTTTCAACTTCCGTTATAAGCAGTAAGTATATTTACATCAGATATTGTGATAAATAAGGGCGTGGATGCCAAGATAGGCCGATTGGTACAATAAAATCAGTAGTCTACTGTCATCTAATTACTGTTAAAGATAAAATAAACAGTGGGATGACTCATGGAATCTAAACATCACCACTTCTTAACACATGACATTCCAACATTTTCTAAGAATTTAGACTTGATTCAAGATATTTTTACTTGAAACGAATGTTTCTCAAGTTAACTTTGATGAAATATTATCCCATGCTAACTAATGGACTGAACAATATTACCTTGAGAGAAGGATTATGCAAGATACAATGAAATTAAATGACACATGGCCGATATAAATGATTAGGAAAACCCACCAGCACGCCTTGCAGCTCTGAATTCATAGTCAGATTTTAAGGTTAGGCTGAAGACTTCCGACTAAATTTATTTATGCACGTAATCTGCCTCTCTTTACAGTCTCGTTCATGGACTCAGTAAGTGATAAACAGAGTCGGTGGGGAGCCACATGTATTTTGTCGGAAAATTACATTATGTAAAGTTAATTTTTTTTTAATTATGTGTATATACAATATATTGACTCCCGTTGACTTGTACGTGGGTTTACTTCTTTGTATTTTGACCCCTCTTAGTGAAAGTTTTGGCTCCGGCACTGAGTAGAGTCATCACACTTTTTTTTATATGTTCAGAAAATTCACATTTGTGGAATCCTCTGAAACCAATGGTAGTTTCAGCAGTATTCTGATCTTTAAACCTTTTCTCCACCAAATCCAAACTCGAAGGCCCTGAATTCAATTGGAGTGCAAACAGTTACTGCTATCATTTGTCCCTCATTTTAAGTGACACACTTTATTTTTTAGTCTATCCCAAAATGAATGACACATTTCTCTTTTGGAAACTATTTATCTTAGCATCCCATTTTACCCTTAATGACATGCCTAGTTGGGACCCACTTCATATAAAAGTTTATTCTTTTATAAGGAGAGACAAAATGAAAAAGACATGTGAAACTCTCACCAGCAATCATTTAAAAGTTGACACTTTGCATATATCTGGCTTACATGTCAAAGGTCTTTTTGTTTCTTAAATCCAGTCTGGTCACACAAAATGGGACGGAAGAAGTAATAGTTTTTGTACTGAAACTCATAATTAAAAGGTTAGTCGCAAACTAACTAAAGCATTTTGGTGTTGTAGCAGTATAATTCTGAGATCATAATTATTTACTGATAAAAAAAGAATTACTGAGATCATAACCATAACTTCTTTTAAATGAAGGAAATTCTTACCAATGGTCGTCTAATTTCAGAAGAAGAGAGCCCTAGAAGTCTTCTTAAAGCTTCTTTATTTTCTAATTTCCCCTCTATGTCACTGGCACTATACTGGACCTTAAGAAAATTATCAGAAGCAGGATTCCAAGCATCAGTATCAATTCCATTCAGAATTCCAACAAATTTCTTAGAGTGGGAGTTAATTGTTGCATGAAGTCCTTTTCCTCCCTGTACATCATAAATGAAAATTGACTGAGAGGCAGAAATTCATCAAGCAAGGTGTAAAGTGATGATTGTTAAAGCAAGAGGAAAAGTATAGTCTAAACATGATAACAGATTTACTAAGTGTCCTCAGCGCCTTCTTGGTACTAGCTTCAATCAAATAACATTTATCTTACATAAAAAAGATTGCTAAAGTAACTTTTTTCCTCGCCTAGTGGGAGAACGGGATTATTTACTTGAACCATGCACAAGTAATTTATATATTCACCTTGCAAATTGGATCATTTACACACCCAACGATCATCATGTATCATATGAGATAAAGCTTAGAACTCAAATGCATGTGCACTCAATTTTTGAAGAGAACTTGATGCTTCCGCCAAACCACCTTTGGACTTTTCAGATCTCGAATAAGCTTTTTGATCGAGTCAAATATCAGGTCTACACAAATTAAGTTTCAAAGTCTTCTATAGTTTTGGTCAAAAGTAGAAAATTTTACCATCTTGAAAATATACGGGCCAGATGGCTAACTTAAATCAAATGAAGACTCAAAAGACATGATCATTGGACCTATAAAACCAAGGATGTCACCAGTCAGTGGTTTACAGAAGACATTCAGATTTTCAAACCAATCCTTGACGTCAACAGGGGAATATTCAGCCTCTTTGAGACCAGAAAGACGAGGAAAGAGTGAAGAAGGAAACGAAGAGATATATATTTTGAGACTCTTTGGCAACAACAGATCTTTTTTCTTTTCTGATGAAGATTTGGCAACAACAGGTCAGTTGAGGCCCTGCAGAAACTATGGTTCAAAAGTCCCATTTAAGTTGCATTTCAAACAAAACCTATCGTGTCTCACTAGAGAAACCAATTACCCAAGTATATGATTAAAAGCATGACTGCTTGCTGCACGAAGACAGAAGGTAAGAGAAGGTGCCTAGGGAAATGAAATCCATACCTGAGCAGTCCGGACCTCTTGAGCATAAGTTGGTGAAACTGTGGTAACAATGTTAGAAAACACAATTGCACCCTGCAACAAGAAAGAACCACATACACTGCATATTAAAAAATTTGACATGGAAGCAATGGAGCCACAAAAATCAGTTAGAACAACTTATCATCATATATCTTGCTACCTTCACGGAATTTATTCTATCATTTGCTGAATTGTCCTGCATCCTGTCTGGTCTGTTCAAGTGATAAGCATCAAGACCACAAGATGTTAATTCTGATGCTGGTGCAGTCCCTTGATACTCAAAATTATGGCATGTAAAGCAAATCCTCGCTGTGTCCAATCCTTTTGGCACATATAGATCCCAATAAAGTGGTGCCTTCATGAAATAATAGAATCCTGAATATATGAAAAACAGGAGCTAAAAGGTAAAAAAAATTGGAATCCATCTTACAATAAAAGCTGTTTGCCAATCATGGCAATGAATTATATCTGGTTTCTTTTCAGCATGAAGTAGTAACTCAAGTGCTACCCTGCTAAAGAATGAAAATCGTTTGAAATCATCGTGCTCCCCATAAAGTTGTCCTCTCCCGAAGAATTTACCAGGATGCTGAGGCTCAATGAAATAGACAGGAAGGCCTGAAAAATAAAAGCAACTAAATATGATATCGCCAAGCCTACATGCAAAAGGTGTACAAAGAAATGGACACTTGTGGACCGTAAATATTCTCGACCTTCAACAGTGCCCGTCCAGATCTTATTTTTGTATAACCGACCATCAAAGTAAGACTCAACAACCACATCTAAGGCCTGTAGAAATATAACCATTTAGGTGATTTAAAATCATAATACAACCTGGGCTACTAAGACTACTAAAATAATGATTGGAATGTCGACTTTCAAGCATACCTTCATGTCTTTAATTGACTCATACTGCATACAATCATATTTAGGAAGAACAATTTCCACAAGGTGTCCTTTCTTCTGCAGAGCCTTGCCAAGACCTGTCACCACATCCCCTAGACCACCTACCTAAGAGACAATTAAGAACTCCTTTAAAATAAATTTAGGCATTTCAAATGCCTCCAATACAATTGGTGCTTAGTTTTGAGGATATAATTATACAGTTGTTGCTTACTTTACCAAGCATTGTCCTTGGAAGCTTATTATACTTAAATAGGACGAATAATACATTAGTATCATACAACAGAATGTGCATCTTTCAGAGGGCATAACAGAGAACAAAAAACAAATAAGAATGACCCAAGATCCTAACAGTAGAAATACTGGTTGCATGACTAGCTATCCTATGCAGCCTACTTTGCTACACTTGTACTAACCAAATATTTTTTGAGAAAAGGTAAGTATATACTTGTACCAAACGAACATTAGCACCAGCCACCAGGAAAAGTCCACAAAGCACAGATGAAGAGAACATAACTTTTTATAGATTAGGTGCATATGTGATTCTGGCCTAACCTATAGTTATCTGGAATTACGATAAAAAGATGATCTATAACCAATTCACAGTAATTGCCTTCATCTTTAAAACCAGGTACTATTATTTAACTAATTTTTAGAGACTTGTCTTTCCCCCCTTTGTACATCGATGTAAGGAGACAATTGCGTCGTCCTAAATACAGAGCACACAATCCAACAATGCATTCTGAAGAAATTGTTAAACAAATAAATATAGCTTAAGATTCATTTTCTTCATAAAATAGAGGACTAAAATCCACAGAGAGGAGCCGTTATACCTTTGCAACTGGCGCCATCTCTGCTGCAATATGGATGATATGCAGTCCCGGACTATTGATTGACCAGAAAAGAAACTGCAAGTTATATCCTTAAACTAGGAATATTCTGTTGCGAATTACTAAAACTAGACATACCGTGTTGACGATGACGTAAATTTAAGAAATCTCGCTATAATTTCACGTTCATTCTTTTCCTTGCATGACATATATGCATCACAGATACGTCCATCTTTCTTCCAGACCAGTTCTCTTAACAACTTTGCGTCATCCTTTGTGATTTTCTTTTCCATAGACCAACCGTCAATCATCAACAACAACTGACTCCAAAATTCCCAAGGCATATCATTTACAGGTTCATCTAGAGCTTTATTTTTAGTTTCCTCTTTCAAATTATCGAGTGTATCTTGAAACTCCTTGACAGAATCCTGATAGAGCTGGACATAAGATTGTATCTCTTCATCAGACCTCTGAAGACGTTCATCAAGAAGTTTCATCTTTTGCTGCATTAGTTCAGATGAAAGCTTATAGGTACTAGCCTCTTCAAGTGATTCTTCAAGCCTATCAACCTTTTCTCGCAGCTCTTGGTTTTGTTGTAGCACTGATATTGCTTGATCTGCTTGTTTAGTTGCCTTAGCTAGCAATGTTTGTAAGTGTTCCACCTTTTCATATAAATTTTTGCACTCATATTTCAAGGCAGAGAGCTCTGAAACATCTTCCTGAGATGTAGCTAGTTTAGATCCCAACTCACTTAAAGAAGATTCAAGAACTGATCGTTCTTTCTCTAGCATTAAAATGCGTTCATCTGTTTCCTTGATATTAGTAAGCTCTGACTTCAACGCTTGAAGATCCTGCTTCAATAATATATTTTCTTTCCTTAAGGAATCAAGTTCCTCGCTCAGTGAATTAACAGAATCGTTATCTGAAAGAGGAACTGAATTATTCACATGAAGCACATTTTCTTCTCTGCTTCTACTGCTAGACAATTCGTTTTTCAACTTTTCCAACTGGTCTTCTAGAAGTTCCACATGTATTTTTTCTTGGGCAGCAACTCTGAGCCGTGCATCAGTTTCTGCCAGCTTCATTTCTAAAATGTTGATCTCTCCAAGCAAATCCTCTTTCTCTCCAAGAATTTTTTGAAGATCTTCTAATGCACGAATTCGAGCTTCATTGAGTAGATGAATATCTACAAATGTTATTCAGAAGGTAATGAAGTTACACAACAATTCTTTTGATTTTGATGAATTCACACAAACTTTCAAGGGGAGAAAACCGTGAAATAGCAAACAGTGTAAACTTGAAGATTGAAAACCAGAATTGTCTTACTCTTTTCCGCATTTCTTATCATGCCAATCAAATCCTGAAGATGAACACTTGAAGGTTGTTCCTCCTCATTTGAGTCGACAGACTGTTTCAATCACGAGGTATTCAATTAATGATCCCAAGAAATATGCACCATTAGGATGAATTGAACAAAAAGAAAAGACATTACTGATTAAAGAGTAGATATGAAACAAGAATCTTTTCAACTTCTATATTAGCGAGGAACAAAATAAAGACCATCTGGTGGAGCTTAGTTCTGAGGATGTATGACATGCATCAAACCTCTGTTGAATTGCTAGCTTCTGCTCCAACCACAACAATAATATGGATGTTATGTGACGCAAACTAAGTTGTTAGGACCATATACACTGATGATAGATCAGGTTTCATACTTATGTAAATGATACAGTATAGGTCATAGGTCGGTAGAAAATGCAAGGAAGTATTGGTAGATTTGCGAAAGACAAGAATGAAAGAGAGGTCCAAGAAAATTAACTCTCCTGCATTAAATATATTGATTGGCACGAAAGCTCAGGGGCCAATATACTCAGCAGAAAGAATTGCAGCATGAAGGTCTGGAAGGCGCATTCAGCTTTCTTTGGTTTATCTTTCGGAAATTTTTTTAGCATACTAGTTAAACCATTTAAAGAACTCCATTTTTCTTACAGTATTTGTAGGTGTACAGAAACTATAGCTCTAGTGCATAGGAGTCATGTATATTTTGAAATTAAATATGATAACATAAGAACTCTCTTTTTCTAATGGAATCACGAAGCACCCACCTTGGCACATAGTTCATACTTCATAATTTGAGAAAGATCCATAAAAAAAGCACAAGGTAGAGCAATTTAGTTCAAATGCTGAACGGCGCTTAGTTATTTGTCAATGGCCAAAATAAGGGCACGCTCTCCTCGAGGCACTCTTTGCGGCATGTCAGAGATTTTCAGATAGCTCTAATAGGGTCCTAGATTTGTGAAAAACTCCGCTCAGAGAATTCAATGAAAGGGGTAATTTGGATGACGCACTTGTAAACCCTTATTCAACATACACACAGTACATAATGACTACAAGTATCTCATTGTCCAATATCTCAAAGAACATACCAAATAACTAATCTCCTCGGAGCTTCCGGCTTCTGTCAAAGTGTCAACGTTTTCTTTGATTGAGCTTTCCTGATTTGAACTTGATAGGTTTTGTTTGGACATATTTTTCGTATTGGAATCTACAGCATCACTTGACTGAAGATCAACATTTGTCGGGCGTTCAATATTTGTTTTCTTGGTTTGTTGTCTCTTGTTCTGCAAACTGGAAATTTCAGAGCATAGTCAATTAATGCAGCTGGAGATAAGAAAGAAGATCAATTTTGTTTTCCCAACAATGTTGATCTACCCGAGTTCTAGAGATACATTTTTCACCAAGCTATTTAAGTAAAGTTCCAAACTAATAAATTGCAGCATATCGTTGTTCATCTTTTGCAGTTCCAGGTTCTGCGGATCATGATTGAATCAATAACAAATGTTTTCTTCTTCCCTAACTCAAAGCAAAGCACTAACCCTAATTAAAGAATCAAACACTCAAAAGACTTTTCCACACACAAATTTTCAAATCGGAGCAAAACTACTCCTACTAACAGAAACTAAAGCAAATAAATCTCGACAACTCAAATCCACTCAACTACCCCTTCCAAACGGATTTCAAATATGATTTAAGTTATGTATACTGACAGTGTTAACTAAATTTTACATTATCAGCGTAATTTTACCTATTGTAGCAAGTTACTTACCATTTATCCCAAGTTACCAATCAATGATTGTGTAAATATCTTTTACGATATCAGTGAATAGAGCTTAAACACTTTCAAATAAATCCCTAAACCTAATTTAAAACCAAAAAAAGAAGAAGAACAAAAACGAAACTGAAAGAAAGAAAGAGAAACTAGAAGCATTTTCCACAACAGTCAACACAGAATCAAAATCACAGGAAATCAACTCCAACGAAAGCAACTGACTCTCGGCAACTCTCATTTATCACAAATTCCTAATTAAACAGCTCAAAATTAAAAATAAATTACAGAAACTCAGTATTTTCCCCATATAAACCTCAAATCACTCAACGAAACCAGCTCAAATATTTCAGAAATGCAATCAACTGATCCATACCAAATCTACACTACTCGATTCTTCGTGAAAACGGAATGGAGAATAGGAGTACCTGAAGTTGCGGTGGCGCATTTTGCCGGAAGCTAGAAGTGGAAGCAAACGTTGAGAAGACAGTGGATAGAATCGAACATTTACTTGTCTAACAAAAGGTGCTCCTCCTCCGCACCATTTTTGGCTCGGTAAACAGTTGGAAAGCTTCATCTCCATCTATAGGAAATACAATAAATCTCAGCTGAAGGAAGTGAGAGTTGGGAGGGGGGGAGGGGTTGTGGAGTAGAGAAGAGAGAAAAGAAGAAACCGTTTCTTAGAACCAACGACTACACTGAAAACTGTTTGGGTGTATGCTAATTAAAGTGCGCATATCTTCTTCTTTTTTTATTTTCCGAAAAAAAAAGTGCACATATCTTTGGACTCCGGGGGAAAAAGAAAAGAAATATCTTGGACTCGGGGAAAGCGGATGATTCACTGCGTTGCTGTCCAGGATAAAAGTTTGTACTCCACAAAAATGTAGTACTACTATTAGTTTGAAGATCGAAATAATTCAGTATTACCTTTGTAATGAAAAAGTAATTCTAACCTTTCCTGTTTTCTTTTTGAGCGAAAATATTTGACATTAATCTGTATTTTTGTGGGATCTATATTTGCCCTTTCCAATTCTATATAAATCTTTATCCTCATTCTTTATAAATGCAAAAGTCCCAATACTATATATTATACCTACTTGTTTTTTAACTCCTATATTCCAAATTCCAATTAAAAGCCTATCTGGTTCATATTATCAAAAATCTTTTAATTGTTTGAATAAGCATTATTTTCTTATTGATTAGGCTAATTTATCTAAGGTGACTAATTATCTTTTGAAAATTACTTTATCTTTGACAATAATCAAATATCTGAAGTACCGGTTATGATACAACTAATGAAACGGATTTTCATTTTTTTGGAAATGGGAAATTGATTTGACAATATTGTAACAGTTGAAATGATCTAAATCGGATCCGGAACTTGTGGTTAGAGCCTAACAGGGTATTTGTTTAAAGGAATTGGGAGTTAATATGGTGTTCGAGGGTGTAGGATAAGCTATTCCATTACATGGTGATGGCCCAATAAGGAAGGAAGAAGTTTGGAAAGGTGGGACCAAGCATCAAAAGTGGGTCCATAGAGGACTTAGGCCTCATTTGTTTTTTTTAAGATTAAGACGTCTGAATCTGAATACACATCTGAATATCAAGATGTGTACTAAGATTAAGACATCTGAATCTGAATACACATCTGAATCTATTAAGATGTGTATTAAGATCTGAATAGAAATAATTAAGACTGTTTGATTTTTAACATCTGAGTATATAAAATTTATCTTTATTTAAAGATTAATAAACATAAAATTCAAATGAAATACTAACTAATCTAAGATATCAATAAAATATATAGTTTGTTAAAATATGATAGTTGTTGGTGGTGATGACTAACGGGTGAATGCCGACTAGAGGCGGTGGTTGGTGGTAGTTTTGGTTGATGATGGTGGTTCATGCTAGTTGCTAGTGGTGATTGGTAGTGGTGGCGGTTACAATTGAGGATGGTGCTGGTGGGTGGTGATAGTTAATGATGGCGGATGGTGGTAGTAGTTGTGACTGAGAAAGGTGGTGGGTGGTGGTAGGTTATAATAATGGGCAGTGTCGGCTGAGGTTGTTGATGGTGATGGGGTGGTCAGTTGTGGTAGTTGAGGTGGATGAGTGTTGATTGTGGGTGAGAATGATATATGATGGTCGGAGTGGTGGGGATAATGGGTGGTGATGGTTGATAATGGTGGCGGCTATGATTGAGGATGATGGTGGCGTGGTGGTGGTGGTGGTGGTGGGGGTGGGGGTGGTGGTTAAGTATGGTGGTGGTAGTGGCATGGTGGTAGTTGATAATGGTAGGCGGCGGCGGCAATTAATAATGAATGTGATAGCATCTTAATGAAATTAAGTCTCTGTTATAGATCTTAATCATACAGACCTATTCAGACCCACTAAGTGGTTGTGAAGTAAAAAAAACAAACACACTTAATGATTAAGATCTGCATAATTAAGATTCAGACTTTAAAAACAAACGCACTTAATGTCTGAGGTCTGAATGATTAAGATTCAGACCTCCATTAAGTGCAAACAAATGAGGCCTTACTCATCTGTACATGCATTTATGTTTGATATTTATGCACGTATCAATGCAATTCGATTTATTAATTTATTTTTCTTTTGGAGGACTAAATATATTATTTTATTTTATTTATTGATAATTTGGAAAGAGGATCACTCCTATTTCATGTGTCTTTTTTATAAAGTGAAACTTGAAATTAGAATAGTAATATGGTAACTAATAATGCTGAACTCATACCGCATATGTTGATACTTTTGGAAGAACTTTCTATACATTAATTAGTCACCACTTTGAACAAAAGCATAAAACTTCACATGCATTTGTAATTCCTGTGCTTACAGGGCGGAGCTAGAGACCCGTCTATGGGCTCTGCCGAATTTATTAGCTTTTGCTCAAGCAAGAACAAACAACTTCAATCATTTTTTAATAGAAATACTAATTAAGATAGGTTTAACTCATCTAAAGAAAAACAGCCTAGCTAATCTCTGTAGAATGTTCTTTGCACGTCACACCACTATCATCTAGAGATTCTTCGGATGCTCCATTGCAGTTTAAAAGTTTAGCCTTGTGTTTTTTCTCATCAAGGTACTGCTGATAAGCATAAGAAGAAAATCCCCAAATAGCCAAAACAATAGAAATTGCTTTCACCCCACTCATCTTGTCATGAAAAATAATAACAGCTAGGATTGGGTCTAGAGGCGTACCCAAAGTGGAAATCACATTGGCAAAGACAGCAGATACCTTCATAATCAACCCAAGAAGACTATAGGTGTAAAGTTGCCAACACAAACTTATCCAAAATAATATCATGATATAAGACAATTTTCCAAGCTCGAAATCTTGCATCTCTGCCTTCAACTTCCTCCAGTCTTTACTTGCGAACAGGCCAATGAGAATTAGACACGTCGCGAAAAATGATTGACAGATAATGACGTCCATGATATCTCTCAATGTATTCTTTTTTAGGATCTTTCTGAAAATTAGCTCTGTTGTGGCTAATAGTAAACCAAAACCAGCTGAAGCAATTAATGTGCATACAAACCCTATCACGTAATTTCGCTTCCCTTGAGATGACGATTCATCCGTTTTGTTTGAAGAGTCATCAGGTTGTATTGCCAAGAGAATAGAGGAAATGGTTAGGAGAAAAACAGAATTGGACACAAAAGGTGTAAGTTTTTCTAGTCTCATGGAAAGTGAGAACAAGACACTGAAACCTAATTGACTTGAGGAAATTAGAGAATAAGTTGAGGCTGGGAGGTATAAAAGACCAATTGAATACAAAACACAGCCTCCTCCAAGTAAAAATCCAAGAAAGACAGAGATTGATAACAAGACCATTATAGAAGGAGATTTTGTGTCATCGTTAATGTGTCTTAACGTTGGTCCTTCTTCTTCTTTAGGGGTTCTTTTTGTCCAAAATATCATGGGAATTAGAAGAATGGGAAAACCTACAGTTTGAGTAAGTGAAGACAACCACGTACTGTTTCCGCCTTTGTTGTAATACAACTTTCCAAGTATTGTAGCTACTGACTGGCTAGCCAGGACAATGATGGTGTGGATGCCTATCTCGAGCCATTTCTTGTATTTTCCTGCCTTCGGAGTCGATGGTTGATGTTCAACAATTGAAGTGATTTCCATGATTTTCGTTTCTTCTGTTTCTTCTTGGACTGTCAATCGGCAAAAAGATCAAAGTTAGCTAGCGTCTTTTCTTCCACCATGCACCTTGTATAGTTTCAGCAGCACACACAAGTCTCACTCTCTTTCACACACAGGCACACACACATATATATTTTTGGAGAAAATGTCCAAATAATCTACCCGTTTACTGTACAAAATATTTTAACTTTACTATGTTATACGTTTTGGTCGTTCATACCTTGGTTCATAAGCAAAACATCCCGTATTTGTCCTTAATGGAGCTTCAGGTAGGCTTGGTGGATTCATACATGTTCAAGTATACGAAAAAAATGTGTAGATTTAGCCCTCTGCTTTATTAACTACGATTGAAAACTAGCATGTGCGGTTATACTTCTGTTAGGGTCCATGCTGGAGCTCCGTTACAATCAAGGCAAGTATGAAACAATTTGCTGGCAAAAAGGTATAAACAGCTGAAGTATAACGGAGGATAAATTAAGACATTTTGCATAGTTGAGGAGTATTTTTTACCATTTTCTTCGCTTTAAAAAATTGTTGTTACCTTTGTCTACTTCAAAATCACTTTCCGTAAAACAACATAGAGAAGGAGTTTAAGAAATTTAAGGTCAAAACAAGAAGAAAGGTCAAGGTGAGAAGATGACTTAAAGGATGTGAGCAATCTTACTCGTAATATCTAGCTGCTTTTCTGCAACAATTCCCATGGCAAACACATACGTAGAAGAACTCCGACTTCTGACTTAACTAATTTCGCTAGCTGGTGGACACTATATCTTTCTATGGATTTGAAGAAAAATTAGAATCTCATGTTAGGATTCTGATGGCTTAATATAGTTGCATGTGAAGGTTGAGGTGGGCTGTAGGAGAGGGGGTGATGAGATGGATAATAATAGTAAAAAAAGAAAAAGGTGATAGAAATTATTTCTAAATAATTTGAACGGTTTTTGTCGTTGTTCTCCGATTCAATTTACCGTTTTCTAGTTTTGCACAATGTGTTTAGCTTCGATAATTGAAGGAATGGTCTTAACTTGGATAACTCGTTGAAGGTGAAAAAGACAACTCTATATAAGTTCGGACAAAGGTCTGACGATGGAGCAAGTAAAGTTTGCTCTTTATTAGATTTTAGGAAGTATATAATGGAATAATTCCAAGTATTTACTAGTATGAATTAAATAAGGTTGAATGATATAAACCTGGACAAAGGAAATAAACAAAAAATGGACCTTCTCCTTAGCAAAATTCTTTTTTCCCTACAGGATTGCAGAAGATTACAAGCAAGAAGACTCTTTGCTAAATTATCTTTTTCACGTATAAACTACTCCCTCAGTTTATACAGCGCACTAGGAGTACAAGATTCACGCTACTTTACTTTTTGTGTGAATTGAAACACAATTATTTCTAACTTTTTGAAATAAATTTACATATATGGAATACTCTAATTTACAAGTCACAATAATAATACTCTAATTTAAGATATTTAAGAAATGCTTGAAAAAGATAGATTAATTAAATAGTATATAAAATTGGGGAATTGTTGCTCCCAAACGCACACGCAAGTATACGTGGTCGACAAGTAATACAATGATAAGTTGAGTGTCGAACCCACAGAGACTTGTGTAAACTACTCACGGAATTACTAAAATTGCTATTCAGTCCAGCTAAAATCAAAGTCCAATAATATTATTGTATTATACTACGATATAAGTAATAACTAAATTATCAAGTAACGAATTGATTGTTGTGTATTCAGTAGAGATAAGTATTCCAGGGTTGTGATCGATTCACCATTCGTATTGTGTTCTAATTAACTCTCCCTTTCATATAATTCACTCATGGTTGCTGATTAATCGATAAATGCTCTCATAGCCTTCTCCCGAAGTACTACTCACCTATTCTCAATAGATTAACGCCTATATTCCTATTAAATCAATCTATTAAGAACGCATTAAGATTACGATATTTAATTAAGCACGGTGACTAGGTATATTCCTATCCTAACCACAAATCCGCTCCCCCTAAGGGTTAAGAGCATGCTCTCTTCAATTCTTCTCTAATCTAAATATGGCTTCCCAAGCATAGCATAGATAGTAAATAGAACCTAACTGTTGGCCAGACAATTAAGCAATTAAACACAGAATTGAAGAAACAACCATATACTGGTGAATTATAATCAAGGTCAAGCTAATATCAAACAACAATATTCATGGCTAAATCACAACCCCAGAATAGTGGGTGTTTAGCCACTCATACTAGTGTTCATCACAATAAGGTTCAATTTCATCACAATTAGCAAAAACCAAGGGAAGAAAAGAAGAACTTGATGATCAAAATCTCTGCCTTGCCTCTTGCCTCTCTATTCCTTCACTAGCCTATGAAAACCTTGATAGATAATCCTTGGGCGAGCTTGACTTTATATAGGTTAAGTGGGATTTCCTCCAGATTCCCAATTATGCCCCTAAGCAATGCTTCCCGGAATTTGGACTAGCGCGGTCGCGCATATGGGCGCGCATCTGACCGCGCTAGTTGGCATACGTTCTGTTTAGGGCGCGCTAAAATTAGCGTGGGCGCGCACCTGGGCGCGCTAGCCCAGATCCTTACTTCCTTGATTTTTTTCCTCGTCTTCGTGCGTACTCAGCTCCGAGGGGTTGTCTTTGCTCTAAAGTAGTTCCAATCACCTCTTTAAGGCATCACATAGGCTCCTCATCCTGCAATGTATGCAATTCACAATTAGAGTCCATTTTTAATCAATTAACCACATTATGACATCGGAATATAACTAAGCGGGAGCATAAACAATCGCCAAATTACCTAGATTTAGCCTCTTATCAGGAATCTACACAAAATATCCATAAAACCTAAACTAATTATCTACCCTCAAACTAATTACAAAGACTACTCATACGATTAAAAGTAATTATCCGCCCCTTCACCTATCTTCTGCCAAGGCATTGCATTCATAAATCACAACGTCATTGTTGCTATGACCATTTTCCCCCATTTCTCACATATGTGCTTAACTCATTATTTAGTACAATTATTTATAGAGAATATGGAGAAATCACTACTTTCCTAACATATATGATGAACATATTTTCTTTTTGTGGATTCTCACAGGGAATGGTCTGAGCTTAAGCATTTATACTTGTAGTCCGCCATTGTTGAGCTTGAAGCTTTTGAATTGAAATTTTAACATTAAGATTTCTTGTTTGATTCAAAGTAGATATTTTAACAAGTTGTTTATAGTATCTTTAGAAAGTTCATACCGGAGATTTTTGGAGATCTGTTATTAGAAAAAATCAAATGCACAATTAAAGGATCTTGAAGCTGGAAACTCATGTAGTGGGCTTGTTGAGTTTGTAGCTGTTTGATCTGATTTTGCTTGGGGTTTGTTTGAAATGTTAATTAAAAGTTGTAGCAAAAGCTTGAGCCAATTTGGTGGAGATTTTGCAGTAGAGTTGTGAAATTTAGGTTGAAATTAAGTTGAACTAGCGAAGAAGGTGGATTTGTACTGTATAACAAAATGGTATACATGTATACCACTTTAGTATATTATACAATTTATTCGAACAGTATACTCGTATAATATATAGTATAGTATAATAGTATACCATTATAATTTGGTCATTTTTAAATTTATTGAAAATTTTTATTGGAATTTTTTAAAATGTTTAATGGAGTTTCCACGCCTTTTTCAAAATTTTATTAAACAAAAATATTTACTTTTAAATGTTGAATGAAGGTTATGGCTAAAGTTGAGCCAATTTGGTGGATTTTTCGCACTAAAGTTATGAAATTTGGGTTGAAATTGAGTTGAACTTGCAAAAATGATGAATTTATATTATATACCAAAATAGTATACATGTACACCGGTTTAGTATCATAGAGGACTGCGCTCTTTTTTGTATTAATAAACCATACCTATATCATGTCAGTAATGATATATACCATATGGGTATCATAGTGAACTTGTCTTCTATGATACCCTCTTAGTATATGATATATAATAGGTTGGTATTTTTTTCATTGGAACCTTTTTCAATGTTCCAATAGAGTTTTCATGCTTCTTTTTTTTTTTTTTAATTTTTTCTTAAACAAAAATACTTAGTTTGAAATGTTGAATGGAGGCCGTGGCTAAATTTTGAGCTAATTTGGTGGAGATTTTGCACTAGAGCTACGAAGTTTGGGTTGAAATAATATTGAGGTAGCGAAGTAGATGAATGGTATACTTGTATATCGGTTTGGTATCATAGAGGACTGGGCTCTTTTTTGAAGGAATTAACTAGACCTCTGTCTTGTCAGCATATAATATATACCATGTGGGTATCATATGAAAAAAATAGTGAATGAATGTTTACTATATTAGTTATATTTTATTGTTGTATAAAATAAAGAAGAATAAAGAAAGAGAGCAAAGAAAAGTGTATGTGTTAGAAAAAAAAAAAGAAAAAAAAAAGAGTTAAATGAAATTAGAAAAGAAATCAAGAAAAATGTACAAAAGGAAAGAAATAAAATAAAAATAAAGGAGCCAAAATTGAGTAATTAATCAAATTATGATTAAAAAAAAGAAAATAAAAACAATATGATTGAAAAAACATAACAGAAAGGGAGAAAGAGCAAAAATAACGAAAAAGAAACGGAGAAAAAAGAGTCAATTACCCATAAAAACTACAATGGGTAGGACGGATAATTAGTTTAATGGGTACAAAAATAAATGGGTAGGCAAGATAATTAATTTGATTTGTATGGGTAAAGCTCTAAAACTGAATAATACAAAATTACAAAGGCTTTTGTTCAATGAACTTATGGGGTGCCTTGTGAACTCGGGCTGCCCATTCACTTACTAGGGTGCAAATATAAGAAGTGCATTGAAATAGTCTTCAATATAGTCTTGGTGAAGGAGTCACCACTTTGAACAAAAGCTTGAATTTTGACTTGAAAGTCCACATGCATCTGTTATTCCTGTGCTTACCATACTATTGCAATCCATATACTAAAGTAGTCCAATATCGGTCTCATTATTAATCATCTCCAAAATCCAAAGCCGTAATCAAAATAAAGAATCCCTGCTATTATTCCTAATTAAGCACACCTCCGCCTTCACCTCTACCGGATTAATTACCCAAAGTACCATCAATATTAAGCCATAAGAATAGTGTGATCTTGGAGCTTTCCAAGAAACTTGTAAACAGCAAATCTTATATATAGTCCTTCCTTTTGGCAAATTCAAGAGAGATTTATTATTTTCTTCCAAAATTACCTTTAGTATTAAGTACCCTCAAATTTTAATTTATTGGAGTTACAACTTTAAGTAACCATTAATTAACAAGAGTAATTTAGTAAAATAAACCCTTAATAAATGATTTTAAGTCAATAGAGGACCAGAAACGGAGAGAGTAATGGAACAATTATAATATATTACATATTGATAAAAGAAAATAACAGTAACAATCAACAGCAATCCTTTTCATAAAAATATTAGGTAATAGATTTTAATTTAAAAGAAAACAGCCTAGCTAATTAATAACTGTAGAATTTTCTTTGCACGTGAAATCACCTTCACCAACGAATTCTTCAGATGCTCCGTTGCAAATTGAAAGTTCAGCTTTGTGCTTTTGCTCATCAAGGTACTGCTGATAGGCATAAGAAGAAAATCCCCAAATAGCCAAAACAATAGAAATTGCTTTCACCCCACTCATCTTGTCATGGAAAATAATAACAGATAGGATCTGAATTAGAGGCGCACCCAAACTGGTAATCACATTGGCAAATACAGCAGATACCTTCATTATCAGACCAAGAAGACTATAGGAGTAAAGTTGCCAACACAAAATTATCCAAAATAATATCATGACATATGATACTTCTCCAAGCTCGAAATCTTGCATCTCTGCTTTCAACTTCCTCCACTCTCCACTTGCGAATAGTCCAATAAGGATGAGACACGTCGCGAAAAATGATTGACAAATAATGACATCCATGTTTTCTTTCAAACTATTCTTTTTTAGGAATTTTCTAAACATGAGCTCTGTTGTGGCTAATAGTAAACCAAAACCAGCTGAAGCAATTAGTGTGAATACAAACCCTAGCACATAATGATGCTTCAGTTGAGAAGACGATTCCGTTTTGCTTGAAGAGTCATGATCAGGTTGTAACGCCAAGAGAACAGAGGAAATGGTTAAGAGAAAAATAGAATTGGACACAAAAAATGTAATTTTTTGTAGTCTCATGAAGAGCGAGAACAAAACATTGAACCCTAATTGACTTGCGGAAATTAGAGAAAAAGTTGAGGTTGGGAGATGTAAAAGGCCTTTTGAATACAAAACACAGCCTACTCCCAGCAGAAAACCAAGAAAGGCATAGATTGATAACAACACCATTTTAGAAGGAGATTTTGCGTCAACGTCGTTGTGACTTACTATTCCTTCTAATTTTGGGGTTTTGATTTTATTATTATTCGAAATGATCATTGGAATTAGAAGAATGGGAAAACCTATAGTTTGAGTAAGTGAAGCTAACCACGTACTTCTTCCGCCTTTGTCGTAATACAACTTTCCAAGTATTGTAGCTACTGACAGACTAGCCAGGACAATGAAGGCGTGGATCCCTACTTCGAGCCACCTCTTGTATTTACCAGCAGTCAAAGTCAATGACTCAGGTTCAACAATAATTTTCTCCAAGTTTTGCATTTCTTCAGTTTCTTCTTGGACTGTGAATAAACCAAAAGATCAAAGTTAGCTAGCGTCTTTTCTTCCAAATTATTTATTTCACCAACATACACAAGTAAAAGAAAATGCCCATATACATACAATAACTTGTTATGAGTTTAAGTTTCATGCGGCAGTGTGTAAATTTTTAATATTATCAGGTTACGTTGACATATCATAAAAGTATGTACTTACGTAATAAGCCTGATATGATAACCTTAAAAATAGAATAATAATAATCTGTCATATCGAGTTAAATTGTACAAATTAAATAGTGCATACTTTTAGGGTATATGACTTAAATCCATTTTTTTTTTATTGTCATTGTCTATCAACTTCAAGTCTTCAACGTCACTTACCCTCAGATAAAAAGAAAAAGAAACTAGTGAAGGAAGTTAAATTAAAACAATAAGGGAAACTTACTGATGATTATATCCAGCTCCTTTTCTTGAACATTACTTCCCATAGCAAACATGTAGAAGTACTTCGACTTATGAAGTAACTCTCGCTACCTGGTTGAATTAAACTATTTGTTTAGACTTGCTTTCTATGGATTTGAATAAAAGGTTGAATCTCATGTTAGGATTCTGATGGCTTATTATATAATTGCATGTGAAGGTTGAGGTGGGTCGTAGGAGTGGGGTACTGGGGTGGATACGAGTAAAAATGAAAGAAATTACATCAAATTAATTTGAACGTCTTTTGTCATTCTTCTCCAATGCAATTCATCACTTTCTAATTTTAGCAAAAAGTGTTAATCGCCTACCTTTGATTATTGAAGGAATAGTCCTAACTTGGTTACATGTTGAAGGTGAAAAGGACGATCTATATAAGTTCAAACAAAAGATCTGACGATGGAGCAAGTAAATTTTGCTCCTATTTATATTTTAGAAAGTAAATAATGGAATTCCTTCAATCACAATAATTTTTTGCCTGAAGATAAGAAATAATACAACGTACATTGAATGCCATGGATCCAAATGATTTCTTGTTCTCAATATGACAGCAAAATATCTTAGTAAAGTTATTTATGATTTAAATGAGGTTGAATATGACGAAATAAACCTGGACGGAGGATATATTAACAAAAATGGACCTTTCCACTTTAATGATTTTTTAGGCTTGTAAGATATTAAATGGAAGGAGAGACTACGCTAGGAAAGAAATTATCTTTTACTCCCTCCGGTCCAAAATAAGTGATTTTTTAGCTTTTTTTTGTGGTATAAAATAAGTGATTTTTTCAGATTTCAAGAATGAATTAATTTTTTTTCCTACATTGCCCTTGGAGTAAACAGTGTTGGAGTATGTGTTAGGAGTATTTATGTGAAGAGATAGTAAAGGTTAACATGGTCAATTTCATTGCTAATTAATGTTATAAGGTGGATTTTTTAATCTGTGTAAAAATATTTAAAAAATCACTTATTTTGGACCGGTGGGAGTAGTAACTTATATAAACTACTCTCTCCTCCCATTTTATGTAGCTGGTTCGGACAACAGAATAAAATTACTTAAATATTGGGTGAACATAGACTATGATTCTTCGAGTTAATTGAAATAAAATTTATTACATACAAAGGTACTATAAGTCACAATAATTAATAGTAATTCAAATTATTCAAAAAGTACTTGAAAAAAATAGTTCCAATTCCTTCAACCTGCTCTTATCAGTTTCTGTTCTAACTGTTAGATGAAATGACAAAGAAAATGGAAAAATAAATAGAGAAGAAAGATTTCTGAATATAATAACGTAGGAAGATTGACCGATTCTAATCTTTGCCTTGAAATTCTTTCAGAGTTTTCAGGAGAGTATTGTTTTCATGTTCTTATGTACTTGGGAAAGAAAATTATAAGGAAGAAATTAGAAATTCCTAAGATTAAGTCTCCTTTTATCTTTCTAAAGTGACATGACTATACAGTGAGTTTTACAACACAACGATTGAGTCTTTCCTTTTATCATTTTACATTATATATATTTACTGCATTTGTTTATGTATTAGAATATTGATTTTGACTTTAGCCCACATGGGCGTCCCAGACAGTATTCATTCAATAACAATACTCTGTTTCTTTCTAAACTTACTCCTGCCGACCAAGAGCAACTCCTTTGTCAACTAAAAGAAGAAAAAGAGTACCAACTACTTTGATAATTGTACTTCTCCTTTTGCTTGAAGAGTAGAGAATCTTGACAAATCTGAAGTATCATTTTCAATGGGAGAAGCTCAAGAGAAGCAACTCAATATTTCTCGTAAGTTTTTTCACATTTTTGTAGTCAAACCCTCAGCTTTCTTGATCTCCTTTTCTTTTTGTTCATCATCTTTTATGAAATCCCACTAATTAAGATTATTTACATTTTAATTTGCATATTAATTCATACTATATAGTTAAAGAAGAAGCTAAGGAAGCTGATCATACGGAGAATATTAATGCAAATGTTTTCCCTCAATCGTGGTGCGCAAAATATAACAAGTGGATTGAAATATTCTTCAATATAGTATTGGTCCTGACTTGCCAATCCGCTGCTACACTCCTTGGCGAACTTTACTACAGAGAGGGTGGTAAAACCACATGGTTGGTTTCACTTCTGCAAAATGGTGGATTTCCATTACTTCTCCCCATTTATTTCCTGAATAAAATTCCTAAAAAATGTACTCCTACTAGTGATGATGAAAACAACACGAGCAGTGGTATATCTATTTGGAAGTAATTATCGGTATACGTCTTTCTGGGTACTTTATTGGGTGGATGTTGTATGTTGAGTGCTGTGGGCCTGTTATACCTTCCTGTTTCAACATTTTCCCTTATTAACACAACTCAATTGGGGTTCAACACCTTGTTCTCATTTTTCCTCAACTCTAAAAAAATAACTACCTATATAGCCAATTCTATATTCCTACTCACAATCTCCTCTATTCTTCTTGTGTTGCAACGTGATGACTCCTCTTCAGGCCATAACAAAGGCGGTAAACATTATATAATAGGGTTTATATGTAAGCTATTTGCCTCAGCAGGTTATGCATTGTTGTTATCATTCACAGAGCGCGTATTCAGGAACATCATTAAAAAACGCACAATGAAAGAAGTAATAAACTTAGTGATTTGGCAATCGTTTTTCGCCACTTTTGTCATTCTCATTGGCCTTTTCGCGAGCGGAGGATGGAAAGGTCTTAAAACAGAGATGCAGGAATACAAGCTAGGGAAATTGTCCTATGTTATGACATTGGTATGGAATGCTTTGTGTTGGCAGATTTATACAATTGTTGTTCTCAGCTTAATTACGAAGGTATCTGCCCTATTTGCCAATGTCATTACTGCATTGACTATACCTCTTATTCCAATTCTTGCTGTTATTATATTCCATGAGAAGATGAGTGGGGTGAAGGCTGTTTCCATGATTTTGGCCATTTGGGGATTTTTATCTTATGCTTATCAGCAATATCTTGATGAACTAAAGCTCAAAGCTGATATGTCAAAGGCCAATGAAGAATCTGAAGTTTCCCTTGTTGAACAAGGATGAATTGGTGAGACAGCATACTGTCATTGTTATTCCCTCATTATGATCGATTTCTTAGCTATTGTCTATGTTAGCATTTTCACACTATTACTTTAATTTTCTCTGTGCATAAATATATGCAGGGCCGAAGCTACGTTGATCCAAGGGTGGTCAACTGAACATCCTTCGCCGAAAAATCATACTACTACGTATAAGGTAAAATATTACTGTTACTGATTAAAAATAGACTTTGAACACACTTGCATAGCCAACTGGCAAAGGGTATTCAAAATTTGAACACTCTTATTAAATTTCCTAGCTTCGCCACTGAATATACGTATACAATTGAGAAAATATTTAATTGCAGGCTGTTACTGCAGTGTTCTTGAAGCTTTAGTTTGTCCCTGAAAGTGGGTACACGGCCGCTTAAATCTTATAAGTGCTTATAAAACTCTACATGCAAACGTTGAGAATCATTAATATATTATCGTACACGTCAATCTGATGATAGTAAAGACAAATTATGAAAATAAAATTGGATTCTACTGGTTTCCAAATCACATGCTCTATCGACTTGGTAAACGCGGAAAGGACAAATTAAGTAATTAAAAAAGGCTTCGCAGCCGTAGTATCACTTTTAAATCTTGTTTTTTTTATTTGTAAACAAAATCATTAAGTGTATTTTTTTCAAACCACGCTTAATTTGCATATGAGGCCATCTTTATGACGATGCCCTTCCTTTCGAGCATTATGTTATTAGGTGTTTGTCCAGATTTTCTTACCATAATTAGTTTTTCTATTTTATGACGGAAAGGACAACATATTTACCATAATTGGATTTTTCTTTTTCAATAAGGAAAATATAATTCTTCCATATTTGGCTAGTCCCTTTTCTTGTAGGAAAATGTTTGGAGTTCTATAAATTGAAGAAGATCCGTCCTTCTCATTCAGTAGCATCCACAATGCAGCCCTATGGGGTTTGAGAGTCGTGTTTAGGGGGAGAACTTTACGGGACAAGTGTTAGTAAGTCACTTGTATTTGCCTCTTCGTGAGGTTGTTCTCTCGATATTTTGTACTCTCTTTTTGTATAGTGGATTGCTCATCTCTGCCCGTGAATGTAGGTCAGTTGACCGAACCACGTTTAATGTTTGTGTTTCGTTTGGTATATTTCTCTTTTATTGTATAATTTATCGTTGTTCAATATTTGCTTCGCTAGATTCTGCATGACACTTGATATTTTCAATCCTAACATATGTAGACATTAGTAGATATCATTCCTCCTCTTATACTTGTTGATTTAAGCTTTAATTTTACCAGCTTCTTGACCTACAAAAGTTGGACAGGATTACTCCTTTTATATTTTAAAGCTAACATAAAGTGGTCCCTCTATCTGTTGGTTAAAACTAAAAGGTACTCTCTTTTTAAAAAAGAATGAATCTATTTTCTTTTGGAAACTTACACAGATGTCCCAAATAAATCTCAACTTACCAACCTCTAATCATTAGTCATAGACTTACCAAAACTAGCCAACAAAAATTGAAAAACCAAATAATAGGGTTCTTTCTCTCAAAGAATCACATGCAAAAATCACCTTCCATATTTTTAAGCGTGATTAGCAACATTAGATACAAGACGGAAAGGAAATTTCATGGACGGGGTAGCAAATAAGGTGATGAAATACAAAAATCTATACAATATTCTAAAAATCTAAACAAAAAAGGAACTTTTTCAATGGGTATAGTTGAAATTCATTGAAAATATATAGATAAGTCAATATACAAAATTTGAGGAAGATTGGAGGTGATTTGGACTAGTTTTGTATCAAAATTCGTAATTAAATCGAGTTCAAAAAAGTCTTCTGCGACATATGTATCACGCATGTATCACACATACAGGTATACATGGATATACATGTGATACACAATTGATACAAATATGATACATATGTGATACACAAATGATACACAGTGTGATACACATATCATTTTTTTTATGTTCAGCTTTTACTTCGAATTTTCAATTCAAACCACCTCAAAACTTCACCAAATCATCCCAAAACTGAGATTCAAACTCCTTAAGTTGTGCCCAATCTATTCTAATAACACCCACTCAAAATAAAGCAAAAATTTGATATTTTTTGCTACAAATAGCTAATTGGCTAATTTGGCTAATATTAGTAATATTTTATCAATTGGCCAATTTTTGTAATGAGCTACTTATAAATGGACATAGCTAGTAATTTCCCTTTTCTTTTTAGTCAATTTAAGAAAGAATGAACTTTTTTAAATTTGGAAATAATTTAACTTTAAAATTCTCCTTTTACCCTTAATGAAATTATTTATAGCCATACAAATATCTATGGGTTGTTTTAAATCAATAAATGTCAAATAGGTTCAAATAAATTGATACAAAGGGATATTCAACTTGTAGTTGATAACTACTTACTTTATTCCTTACCCGCAATAGTTGTTTGTAAAAGATACTACTATTAGACTATAAACATATAATATGTGGTCTACACTGCATTCATGACAGTCTGGATCCATTACATAATCAAAACCTCCAAAAAATTCAAGCCCACGATTGGGACAGAATAATGGGAAAGGATATTGTATAGCCGCTCTTAAAATAATAGCTAAAAAATGTATATTTTTTGTATATATATACATTTTGTATGTTATATACAAATTTTATACACTTTTTTAACTACCAAATGTAAATAGTTCTGGCACGGGCTAAAAATGAAAAAAGCCGCAAACTAATGGTGCTCGTAAAAGTTTTTTGGTCTATATCCCATGATTGTTATAGTTCCGTTCGTGTTTTTCAGGCAGAGACGACTATATTCGAACTTACGTATGTCCAAGTGTTTAGCTCATGAGTGTCATGCAAATCGTGCGTCTAAAACATTCATTTATAAAATATTGAACATCCCTACTTAAACTGTACTGAAATATCTATGACAACTTGACAAGGATCTACCCTCTATATGATTAAGCTATATTCCGTCATTCAATTATTCGATATAATAATAGGCATCAGTGGCGAAGCCAGAAATTTTTTCAAGGGTGTTCAAACTTGAAAGAAGTGAAAAAATTCTCCGATAAAGAGTGTTCCATATATATTATATACCTATAAAACCTAATATTTTACCTATATGCTCAGTGTTGTTTCCCGACGAAGGGTGGTCAAGTGACCACCCTTTCAGACATATGGCTTCACCCATGATAGGCATGTGCTAGCATTAGGTAGAAGATTAGACTACTACAGCGTTATTTTAATTGCATTAGGTTATGTTAGGAAGGGCCGAAAGGGTAGGGTATGCCTAACCCCTAGTCCTACCCAAATATAAGTGTTAATATCTACGAAAATGGATATATAGGGACATATACTTTAATTAAGTAAAGCAAGTTATTGATAGAAAATACGACAAGCAATTTGGTAAATCAATCTTCATACTCTATTATTCTTATTTGGAGTTTATCAAGACGTCTCTCTCGACAAATAACCGAATTAAGTTTCTTATGGGAAAGTATTCATTGCTTCCTCTGACAAATTTTGTTGAATGTCATTTAATGCACTTCAATTGGTTAACAAAACATGAAGAAAAAAAAATATATACTCTTATATAATATACATACGTGTACGTTGAAGAACAAAAACAAAAGTTTCAGTAATAACATAAGTCACAGCTAGTGGTGGAAGCTAGATTTCCGCTAAGGTAGTTCAAAAAAAAAAAAAAAAACTATGACAAGTGGGAATTGAACCAATAACCTCACAAAAGTTTTGAACCTCCTTGGAGCTATGTTTTTGGGTAGTGACAAGAGAATTCAAAATATAATATATAGAGTAACAAAATAGATTTTGTCTTAATTTTAACCCCCTTCGGCTCTCCTAAATCCATCCGCCCCTGGTCACAACAACTGACAAGTAGGTAATGGATGTCGAGAAATTAAACAAATTAAGAAAGTCTCCATCTTTAATGGGAGCGGCTAAAAATATATATATTTCTCATTAAATAAATTTTTTATCGGAAGTATTCATGGCATCCTATGACAAATTTTGCTGAATATCATGAATTTAATGTACTGAACTTGGTTTAACTAAAACATGGAAAAAAAGCTGCCATGAAGATAAATTAAGAAAGTGTCCATCATTTACACTAAAAGAAAATGAATAGAAAGCATGCTTTTCTACAATTAGTAAGTATTTAATTAAGTTGGACCACTTAATCCTCTTTCAACAAGTGAAACTTCAGATTCTTCTTTTTCCACAGACTTTTCAGCTTTGAGCTTTAATTCATCAAGATATTGCTGATAACCATAGGATAAAAATCCCCAAAGAGCCAAAATCATAGAAACAGCTTTCACCCCACTCATCTTCTCATCAAATATAATGACAGCAAGAACTGGAATTAAGGGCACACTTAATGTGGTAATCACATTAGCAAATAAAGCAGATACCTTCATAATCAAGCTGAGAAGTCCAATTGTGTAAATCTGCCAACACAATGCAGTCCATACTAAAGTCATAACATACGATACTTTTCCTAACATATATTCTTGCATCTCTGATTTCATCCATTTCCATTCTCCACTCGCGAACAGACCAATAAGAATCGCACACGTGGCGAAAAAAGATTGCCAAATCACTACGTTCATCACTTCTTTCATTGTACGTTTTTTCATAATTTTTCTAAAAATACGTTCAGTGGTGGATAACAACAACGCCATACCTGCTGAACCAAAAAGTGTGCATATAAATCCTATTGTATAACTCTTCCCTTTCGATGATTCGCCGTTGCCTGAAGAGGAATCAATAGGTTGAAACACGAGGAGAATTGAGGAGATTGTGAGTAAAATTATAGAATTGGCTATATAAGTAGTAATTTTTTGGGAATTGAGGAAAAATGAGAAGAGAGCATTGAACCCTAATTGGCTAGCGGATATTAAGGAAAATGTAGAAACAGGGAGGTGTAATAATCCGACAGCATTTAACATGCAACTTCCACCCAATAGTAAACCGACAAAAACATAGACAGATAAAAACATCCAAATTGATGGATTTTTGTTATTCCTTGCGTTGTTGTCGTCTTGAGTTTCTTCTCTTTTTTTCAAGAAGAGAATTGGGAAAAGTACTGGAAATCCACCAGTTTGTACAAGTGAATTCATCCAAGTGCTTTTTCCACCTTCTTTGTAGTAAAGCTCGCCGAGTAGTGTAGCAGCAGCTAGGCAAATTAGAACTAATAAAGAGTTGAAGCCTATTTCGAGCCACCTCTTGTATTTTGCACGCCACGAAGTCAATGATTGAGAGATAGTACTATTTGAACTATTCGCCATATAATCTGCTCCTTTATTAGCTTCCTCTTCAACTATATGAATTAGTGGCAAATAATAGTTTAAAAATTTAGGAAAACACAAACAAATAAACAAAAAAAGATGAACACTGAAGGAATGTGCAAAAATCTTACAAGAAATGTGGTGCTGCTTTTCTTGAGTTTCTCCCATTGAAAAATATACCAAAATTCCTCAGACTTCTTCGGCCTCGTGGAAGAAATTGTGAAAAATCTTACAAGAAATTATTATTATTATTATTTTTAGTAATAAATGTCTAAATATATGTGAAATAGTAGCAGTAAAGCACATCATCCGAGAAATGGATTATGAAAGTGTGGGGGTTCATTTATTTAGGGATGGGGTAGGTGAGTTGCGTTTGGAGTAGGTGGGGGATGTGAGAAGGTGTGAATGGTAGAGCAACAAAACAAACAGAGCAAATTATTATCTGTTGCCAATCATGAAATATGGGTGGTTTATTCACATTTCACAAAGTCACCTTTTCCACTTTATAGAAAGTTGGAAACGTGAAACTGTTTTATGCTATTCTTAG